AAATGGTAACTTAAATGGTAACTGCGGAATTTGCAGAATTTGTTGAATCTGTTGAATTTGTTGAATGTGTGTTACCATTGAGTGCCTATATGTTAGATTAATTATTTTAAAAGAACTTAATTATGTAGATCCTAACCCTATTACAATCACTCACTAAACAAAGCATTATCAGTTAACTAATTATATGTGTGGCCAGGGAGTAACTTATATAAATACATATACTATGGTTCTAGAATTTCTCTAAAATGACAAAAACTTCGTGTTTAAAAATATTTCCGATAATGGTCACGCTTCTTTTATTTTATCAGTATATATAAAAACAATACCAACAAGAACCACCAAAACGATACATATCAAAATATGATAAAAACTATTTGAATAAAAGAATGTGCCTTCTAGAACCTTGACTTGGAATGGTTTTCTCTAACCAACTTCTCATTACTTTTTTAACCAGAGACTTGGAAATCAAGACTTGAAAAAAAAAAAACAAATGGGAATACTTTACACCTTTAAACTAGACGGTGTATATATAATCCTTTACAACACTAATTATATCTTATTATATAAAGTTTGATACATAAACAAGATCGTGATATATGTTATTCGATCGATTAGATTTTGACACGTGTTTAAAAAATTTCAATAAACGTGATAATTAATAAGAGCATGACACATGTCAGTAGATAGATTAGATTTTGACACGTGTTTAAAAAAATTTAATTAAATTTTGCCACACATATCATGCAAATCTTATTTCTTTTTAAACTATAGATTTGTATTTATCAACTAAATTATTAAAATCAATATATATATATGAAACATTTACAAAAATACCACTTTTTGTGTCCACATTTGCAAAAATACCACTTTTGTGTCCATTTGCAACTAATTATGATTTTTTAGAGCTTAAATCTTAAAATTATAAACCCTAAAAAATCTTTTTGACCCCTAAAACCCCTTAAACCCTCAAAACTAAGTCCTAATACAACATAGTTAACTCAAACATAAATGATATAATGAATAAATAATTTTGAAAAAGTGGCATTTTTGTAAAGATTGTAAAAATATGGTATTTTTGTAAAATATCACTTGAAAAGTGATATTTTTTAAAATTTCTCTATATATATCAAAATTGTTCTTCAATATTAATAATACATGTGTAATTTATTTTTAATTCAAATAGATTTAGGTTTACATACCCAAATCGTCATAGATTATAATATTTTGTATTTATATAATAACTTTTTGTTTTCTCTTAATCGTCTCATCAAACAATTTTAAATTTCAATAATTTTTTGGAAGAATTTTATTTCAAATTTTCATTATAAAAATAACTTGAATTATCCTCTTATTCGATAAGTGAGATAGATTAAGACGATCTAATTATAGTATTTTCTTTCGCAACCTGCAAATTGCAAGTTGAAACTTTGTGTATCATTCGCTTCTTGCAAAATTTAGAAATCAATTATGTGAAAGAAATCTTATTAAAATTTATAGTTTTAGTTTGCAACTAAAAGTATGAGTAATTCGTCAATTTTTGGAAAAATAACCTAATTCAATTAGAAATAGAAAAAAACTAATTATTTGAAAATATTTGACAAATTTAAATTGAAAAAATAATATAATAAAAAGAGTCAAAACAACTTAATAACGGTGTGACTTCTCTATTAGTGGTCTTGCACTTTTTTATTTTTTTATTTTTGCAGATTATAAAAATTGATAAAACTAAAAAAATTATATAGAAAAATGAGTAATTAATTCAAATTTTTATAAAAAAATAGAGCAGTGAAGTAATAAAAATTAAATTATTTCATACATGAATAGAAAAAAACTAATTACGTTATAAAATTTATGAATTATTTGGAAATCAAATAAGAAAAATAACCAAGATAAAAAAATAATTTTTAAATTATTTTATATCAATAT